TTTCTCTGGGCAGGATCTGCTTGATGTCCTGACAGGTGGGAGAGCCTGGGGAGCGAGCAGCCACCAAGGAGCCTCTGTGGCATCACAGTGCAATATCCCCACGATGGCTGGTGTGGGATGTAATATCCCTTGTGAGGAGATGGACCTTGGGGATTGCTGGGGAGCTGTGCGGCTGCACGGCCGGTGCTGCTCGAAATGTCAGCAGCAGCTGTAGCAGCTGGCTGTGGTGGACACATGGACAAATATGGAATGTTAGAGAGGAGGCAGTGCAGTGCTGGCTGCAGGAGCAGCCTCCAGACAGGCATCTCGGCTCTCTGCAGAGGCCAGCAAGCGTGTGCTGCGGGGAGAGGGTCAGGAGGGACCAGTCTTGCAGTCTAGCAGGCCTTCAGCAGGACCTCCCCATACGTGCTGCAGGAGAAATCACTCCACGGTAGACAGCATGGAAAAGGTAGGAGCTGGTGCATGGGGATCCTCATGAGGGTGAGGGAATGTGGGCTGAGATCTTACAGGAGGTGAGCAGGATTGGGCTGAGCTGGCTGTGAGCAGGGCAGCTGCCAGGTTGCTGGAGCCCTGAGGAATGCAGGTGGAGTCTCATGCAGCAGGTTCTCTTCCAGCAGCACATACGGAGAGCCCCTGGCTCCCCAGACCTCCAGAAGCCTTTTGTAATAACCAGAGCCCGAAACGGAGGTGTCTGCCCCAAAATGCTCCCGCAGTGTGGAAGCAGCCAGCTGGTGCCACAAGCATCATCATGGGCAGGCAGAGGTGGGACAGCAAGAGGGGACAAACAGCGCTGTGTATAAAGCTGAGCCTCATGAGAAGGCTCAGGGCTGTGGTCATCAGTGCTGAGGAGAACACAGTCAGCCAAAAAGGATTTTGAGGCACTTCAGAGCTAGAGGAGGTTTTGGAGCAGAGTGGCAACAGCTTTTCTGCTTTCCCTACCATGCTTTGCAAACATTACTGTTGCAACCCTGAGACCCACAGGAGAGTGCAGCTGCACAGACCCATAGCTCCGAGCAGTGAAACTCTATTATGGGGGCTTGCCGGCAGCATCCCCAGGCACCTTGCTGCATGCTCAGCCTGCTCCTGCACCAACAAAGCTGCCCTAAGGTTTCTTGGGAACAGCAGCTCCCTGTTCCCTGGTAGGACAGGTGGGGAGGCAGGACTAGATGCTGGTTCTCTGTTCCACAAGCATAGGCAGAGATACAGCATGGGGGAACAGTGGGGTCAAGGGGTGGTTTTTGGGACACTGCAGCCTTGCCAAACAGAGAGGTTCCCAAACCAGAGTTTAGGACTGCATCACTGCTCACCCTCAAGCTCTAAGCCACCCACAGCTGGAGCAGCCCCATCCCTTCCCTCCCAGTCCATAAGCGACACAGAACCAGCTGCTCTCACCTCTCCAGGCATGTGTGCGGCAGTGCGGCGAGTCCTTTGCACATCTTGGCACGTTTCTCCTTCCTCAGCTGCAAGAAAAGGGAGTGCGATGACTGCGACTCGATCTGCAGCCCAGCTCTCCCTCTGACAGCTATATAGTGCAGTCAGCTGGATCCCTGCCAGCCCCCAACGCCGTCCCAAAGCAGCTGGCCCGGCCGTCTCACAATTTTGTTTTCCCCTCTCCCAGCTTGCACGGGGAAATGCATGTGCCTGGGGTGAGAGCAGGGAATGGCAGCGCCAGGGCCAAGCTGCAGAGCTTGGAGAAACCTGCCAGGCTTCCCCTTGGTGGTGTAGCACGCTCTGGGGCAGTGTTTAGAGGAGGTGCGTAGTAACGCTGCTTGCAAGCGAGCGTTTTTCCTACAAAAATACTACCTGTGTGAAAATCAAGTGCTTAGGAGAAGGATTTGCCTTTGAAATAAACATTGTGATTAATGTCAAAACCTCCAGTTTCAGCAGTGCTTATCAGCAAGTGAGTGATAGGTAACGTTTGTTCCAGAACAAGTTGTAAACGTAAAAAAGTGTTTTAATGATAACAAGTGGTTTGGTTTTATGATGGTGATGCTTTGATAAGGCTCAGATGGTTTCCTACCTTGACTTTTATGTGGAGTTTCTTTTCCCACCCCCTTGCAGATGAGCAGAGCAAACATCAGAGCCCAGAGCTGCCTGCAGAGTGGGGAATGGTGCCTGAGCATGGACCCAGCACATGTCCTCTGCAGTGTGACAGCACTTCTCTTGGATTGAGAATGTTTACTTTGTTTGCTCCTCTGAAGCTGGAAACCGTGGAGCCAATGCCTGCCTATGGTGTGAGTTCTTCCCAGCCTCAGCCAGGCATGGTGAAGAGGCAGTGCTTTGGAGTGAGGCTGAGGGACAAATTCCTGGGCGTCAGCCTGGCTGTGGGTGGCCCAGCACCAAGCCTGTGGCTCCAAAACTGCTCCAACACCTGCTGCAGGTGTGTGCACATGGCACTGGGGATGACCTGCTCTGATTTCTGACCCACGTTAGTCATTATATATATGCTGCAAGGAGAGCCAGGCAATTCCTTGTGCTTTAACAGTACGTAAAGTGGCAAGGGTGAACGTAACTGCCCTGGATGGATTTAAGCTCACCCCAGATGTGCTTTCTGCTCCCCAGCTGTGTCAGAGCTGTGCCCCTCTTTATCCCTGGGGCTGACCTGGGCCCTGTTCCAGCCCATCTCCTACTGCTGTGCAGCAAGCTGGTGTCCACATTTGACTAGGAACCTAAAGCTGGAAGTCTGCTAGAAACAGGCAGGGCCATCTCTGCCTCTGGACTTAGCAATTACTGGTTTGCAATGACAGTGGGATAAAAGAAAGGAAGCCTGAGGTATCTGAGAGGATCAGGCGCTCTATCAGCCTCTGCCTGAGCTGTTATTAGCACGGAGATGCTGCACCCTGTGCTGGAGACAGCCCAGAGCCCCATGGCCCCAGGGCTGTGGGGTGTGCCAGGCTCTGCAGCCTGCCTGCAGATGCCGTTGTCACCCAATGGGGCTGCCGGGAGCGGGACGGGCAAACGGCACGGCGGTTCTCACAGCTCCCCATCCAGGAGGGCAGCAGGGCCATGAGAGCCACACGGGAAGCCATGCGCCCGGCTGCGGAGTCGTGGGGACTGCAGTTGTTTTTTCCTCATTAATCTCCAGCAACGAAGCCAGGGTCGGCTATCCCGGGGGAGCTGGGATCTGTGGGAGCAGGAGGTCTGCGTGGATGCTGTCCAGCAGACACTGAGCAACCTTGCAGCTGCAGCACAGCTCCCACTGTGCCAACCTCCTGCTGCTCCGAGGGGATCTCAGCGGCTCAGAGCACCCAGGGATGCCCCTGCAGACCTATTCCCCCACCTCGTGCCTGGTCCTCCATCTCCTTCAGCCCCAGCTGGGTGAGGAGGGGCTGGGGAGATGCTGCGCGGTGCCTCTCTGCTGAGCAAAAACAAGGGCTGCACAGAAGTAGCCGGTGTTTTCCCCAGACCTTTGTCTAGTAATAAATGTTTGTTTTGTCCATTTCAAGGCTTTGGAGTGCTAAGAAAATATTTCCTAAAAGGAATACGCAGACCTTCTTCTTCTTCCCACGACAGCTTAATTTCTTTAAGAGCCCTTTTGGGAGAGCGTTTTGGAGACCCAAGTGCCCCCTGAGGACCATGTCCTATGTACACAGCAACTGACATCCTCAAAGAGCAATATGGGCTCGTGCCTTCAAACTGCCCACTCAAAAGCCACATGGAATCTCCCATTGCACCGTATTTATTCTGGTTTCTGTTATTTCAAGCCTTTATTTTCCTTTCTAACAACTTGCCTTTTATAGAACGCTGCTTTGCAGCTTCCTGGTTCCCACTGGAACTTTCTGAAAATTAACATCATATTTAGCAACACTGACTTCTTGGTGGATGGATTGCCCCAATTCTCACCCAAGGCACTCTCTGGCAATCCATCTGAGCACTCCTTCTGGCACTGGCCATTTTTTAAAACTATGCATTCTAAAAATGTGATTAAAAATCACTTTTTCCCCTACACACCCCAATGCTTTCGGACAGTCTTGTGTCCCTGAAGGAATGATGCTGGTGTGAGCCTGTTCATAGGCTGATATGAGTCAACTCCTTAAGCTTTCCTATGCTGGCTCTCTCATAAAACCTGCTTGTGTCATGCCCCACCAGGCTCTCTGGAGAGCTTTTTGCCTCTCACACTGTTGTGATTTATGTTTACGCCTTAAGGATGTTTTCCTCAAACCTTCTTGGTCTACCTTTTACCTGTAACTTCCCAGAGTTTGCATTCTTTATTTTCATTCTCTTGTACGTATGCAATTTTTGCATCTTCACAGGTCTCGTCGTTTCAAACATTCACCTGCTGAACACATCACCTTCGATAACAGCTCTGAGCACGGGAATGCATTTACACCAGCGTAGCCCAGCACTGCATGTTTGAGCAGCCTTCATGCTGCATAAGCCACAAACCCCTCCAGGTGTGTGTGTGTGTGCTATTCCTGAGCGGCCCACCTTGCATGTCCCTTTTTACATTAAGAATTACTCTGCAGGTCTCCCTTTGGCTCTCTCAGGATCAGTCTCCCTGGATTACTGCTTGGTGGCACCACGTCTCTGAGTTACCAGCTCGGTGATGCGAATGTTTGTGCGGGAGGACAGAGACCAGGCACCCATCTCCTCTCCCCTTCTGAGTCACTGACACAGGGACCACAGGGAGGTTGAAGAAGAGAAAACCCTGGAAAGCCACTGGGCCCACAGCCAGACGGGAGCGCAGGAGTCACGTAAAGCTCCCAGCTGCGGAGCCACCACGGTCCTTGACCCTTGTGAGAGGCCTGAGAATGGCTGTGGTGCAGGGGCTAGGATGGAAGGGGGTCCCGGGCAGCCCAATAGCCCTGCCTCCTTTGCCATGCAGCAGAGCATGAGGACATGGGTGCTCTGCAACTGTTGTGTTCACAGCCATGTGAAGGGTGCTGGTGCCTGGGGACAGCTGTGCCCCAACCACATACCCAAATGCATTCCCTGAGGTGGCACCAGGAAATGCAGCCAGGCTGGCAACATACAGGTGGAAAGCAGGATTTCAACACAGCTAGCACACGCCAGTCACAGGGACTTTTATTCAAAGTCTCAATTCAAGGAATTGTTTAAATCATAAAATGCTTACCCAGATTTGCACCCCATTTCCCCATTGTCCATGCAAACACTCCACTATTATCCCATACATTCATCATAGCCCAAAAGAGAATCCAGAAGGTCAGCCAACCACTTGTTGCCCATGCCTTTAGCTCTATGTGCCCGGCTGCGGCACTGCCTTTCCCAGCTGATGGATGGCTTTGTTCTCCAGCACCTCCACCTTCTCCCCACTCGGCTGGAGCACACTGGCCACCATTGCCCTCGCCACCGTTTCTACAGGCACTGTGTAAGCAGTGGGGCAGAACCGGGCGCCGAATCCCAGAATCCGCTGCGTGATCCACTCGGTGGGGCGGAACTCCTGGCGTTCACACAGCAGCACCCTGCGGGGCAAGAAGGTGAGGTGGGTCAGGCTGCAGGGCCCAGCCAAGCTGGAAAACTTGCATTGGGCCCAAGTGGCTTCTGCAGGGTCCTGGAATGAGTGGGCTGATCGCTGGGAGCTCCTTTTACCCATGGCGTTGCCAAAACCTGGGATGCTGGTTCTCCCAGCTAGAGTATGGTTGAAAGGATACAGGAGAGCAGCCCCTCCACACAGGCTGACCTCCAGATGAAGTTAAGCTTCAACCAATGTCCCTCAACCTGTGCTTTGAGCCTGGGCTTGCTGCTTATAGCAGAGGGGAAGAGGTGCAGGCAGGAGCAGCATTTGCATCTGGAGGATCTCTTCACTTCCTTTCCAACCCTCCCCTAACATACCCTGCCCATGGCCCCCATCTCCCAGCCCTTCCCTGGCTCTGTGTCCCCTCTGCTACTCACGCTGGCCGAAGAATGGTGCAGCGGTCAAAGCCGACAGCCTCAACCAGTTTCTCCACTTCTCCCTGTCACAGTGGGGACAAAACAAGTTGAGGATGATCACAGGCACCTTGTCTCCCACCCTATGAATCAGGAAGAAGGAAGAGCTGAGCTGTGGGCAGGACAGTGTCTGGCTGGTGCTGCATCCTGCAACAAACACCAGGACCCCCAGTGCACAGCACAGCCACAGGACACGGCCGTAGTGCTGGGGCTGATCGGCATGGATTTAGCTCCCAAGCTTTTACAATGTGGCAAAGGTAAAATGAACACACAAAGGAAAGCTGCTGAGTTGGTGGTACAGAAAAATATGGACACAAAAAGGGAGAAGCAGAAGACCTGCTCAGAGGTAGGTGGCCAAAGAGCAGCAGTGGCTGACCCTTCCCCACCTGCCCAGCCACAGTCCCAACAGCCTCTTGAGGGCTGTGAGCAGTCTTGCATCACCTCTGTACCAGCCACCTGCAAGTATTGCCCAACACGCAACTGGTGTGTGCTTGTGAGCTGTGAGTAATCCTCCAGATAACTCAGGAGAGGAGGGCTGCAGTAGGAAGGGCACAGAGCACCCAAATCGGCAGGAGCTGGGTATGTTTGGCCATGGGTAAAGGTCACTCCTCTCCCAGCATGACAAAGGCAGGGCCACAACCATGTCTGAGGAGAGGGGTTTCCTGGAGGGCAAGGAAGGGAGAACCAGAGCTGACCCTGCTTGAAATGCAAAGCATTTTGCCAAGATGCCAATCACCAAAGCAGAGGGCAGGGCAATGCAGGGACCCAAACGGGGCAAAAGGATGGGTCAGCAGAGAGCCCAGGAATTCAGTAACAACAAAAACAAAACTCAGCTGTAGAAAGACAGCTCTAGAAAGCTCTCTAGGAAAGAAGTGTCAGTGCCAGACAGCCAAACAGCAGTCAGCAGCGCTCCCTTGTAGCCACAGCGCTAACTGCAGCAGCAGCAGCACAGCGGGCAGAGCTGTGGCAACGGGATGCTGCCCAGCCCGGGCACTGCCGGTGTTACACACTGCAGGCAGGAGCGAGTCCTGCAAGAGTAGGTGGTGCTGAGTAGTGTAAGGATGCTGAGCGCCTGGTGTCTGCCCTTCAGGACGCAGCAGGGCACGCTGCTGTGCTGCCAGCCCACCTCCTGGGCTCTCTGTTCCCCCTCAGCAGGGGAGTCCTGGGGCCACTTGGACCCCTTGCAGCCTCAGCCCCAGCTTCATTCCCAAGTGTCCCCGCATCTCCATCTCTAGGAGCACGCCCAGCTTCCCTCCTCACCTTCACCCGCAGGTACAGGAAGCTGCTGCGCTCGTTCGCTCCCTGGGAGGACTGCAGGACGAAGTGTTTGCAGCCCCCTGCCCGCGCCAGCTCGGCTGCCTGCGCCACGTAGTCCCGGTCCACACGGACAAAGCCATCCTAGGGCAGGGCAGGGAGTGGGGTCAGCAACCTCTCACCTAACGGCACCCCGTTGGGAGCGGAGGCACCCACGGCACATCCCCCAGGCCTGAGCATCTCGCTGGGCGAGGCGATGCCCGCTGACCCCCTGGGACCGTCCAGGGCCACTCACCGCACCCGCTTTGCTCCGGGTGGTGCCCAGGCAGCAGAAGCCCACGTCGTGGCCGCGGAAGGCATCGGCGTGCTCGCCCAGCCGCTCGAAGTCCACCACCGCCTGCTCCTGGGGGAGGCACGTGGGTCAGGGTGGAACCTCCAGCACGGACCCCGCAACCCCCGGCCCACACCGCACCACGGCCACGCCGCTCCCCTCGGGCAGGCTCAGCTGCCGCCTCCCGATCACCGTCACTCTGCTGAAGGGCCGCTGTGCGCACAGCTCCCGCAGCAGCGCCCGGCCCGTCGCCCCCGAGCCCCCCAGCACGAAGCAGGAACCTCCGCTGCTCGGTGCCGCCATGCTTAGGGGAGGTGCCGCGCTGCAGGCTGGGCTGCGCTGCTGCTGCTGCTGCTGCTGCTGCTGCTGCTGTTTTCCCCGCCTGTCCCAGCGCTCCGCCCTGCTGTGATGGCTGCTGAGGAGCCAGGCCCTGAGCAGCCTTGCAAAGTGTCACCGGGATGATGAGAGACAGTACGTCATGCCAGCGGGGGTGGCAGCAGCCTGTGCTGTCTCTATGCTGGGGTCAGTTCAGTGAGAGCTCTGACAGAGAGTGTCCTGGAGGCCACCCTGCTCTGTGTCCCCAGAGAGATGTCACAGCAGGGGTACTCGTCTTTCGAACATCAAAGCCCTCAGGGCAGCATAGTGTGAGGCAGCCGTGTTCCAAGGGCAGGCAGTGAGTCACCCCCAGGTGCTGCCCTCACGGGTCTCACAGCTCAGTGGTGATGGCATCCCCAACCAACTGTGCCTTTCCGGGGACAGGCAGCTTCCCAGGGCTGTGGGGCACCCAGTCCCGTTTGTCCTGATTCCTGAGAAGGGAGGTGTGCAGCTTGACCGGCTGCTTTCAGGATCAGCCCAGCAATTTTCCATCCTGCTGAGCTCTCTCCTTGGCAAAGAGTGAGCCCGGATCCCTGCAGCACGTGCCACATGAGGGACATGACGTGTATCACCCAGATAATGGCCAGCATCCCTCTCAGCCTGCCAGTCACTGCCTACACCCCATCCAACAGACTGCACCCCGCCACCACAGGCTGGCCGGGTGCTGGGGTGCCCGTGTTCACTGCAGCATGGATGCACGGTGCCAGCACAGTGCAGCGTTCGACAACACGGCCCAGCCTGCTGCCTGCTGCCTCGACTGGATGGCAGCGCTGCCTGACGCCCTGCCACTCTCCCGCCTCTCCATCCCCGGCACGCACGACTCCCTCAGCCTGTTTGGTGGCCGGCGCCTGCGCTGCCAGAGCTGGGGCTTGGAGGCCCAGCTGGCGGCTGGCATTCGCTTCCTGGATGTGCGCTGCAAGCTGGAGCGGGGTGAGCTGCGCATCTACCACCTGTGTACCTTCCAGCGGGTCAGCCTGCGGGGCGTCCTGCGCCGCACCCTGCGCTTCCTCCGCGCCCACCCTGGTGAGGCTGTGCTGATGCGCATCAAGGAGGAGCTGCCCTTCTTCCCGCGGTCCCGCTTCGCTGCCCGGCTCCAGCGCTGCCTGCTGGAGGAGAGCAGAGGTCGGCTGTGGTGCCGAGAGGAGGTGCCCACGCTGGGCCAGGTGAGGGGCAAGATCGTGGTGCTGGAGGCGCTGGAGAGGGCGGTGCTGGGCATCCCCTATGAGCGGCTGAGCATCAGCGATGCGTGGAACGTGCTCTCGCTGGAGAGGAAATGGGCACGAGCACAGCGGCACCTGGACGCAGCAGCCAGCGGGGACCCTGCCACCATGCACCTCACCTTCTGCTCCGGCAATGGGCTCTTCACCTGCCCCGAGGACGTGGCCCGCTTTGTCAACCCTCAGTGCTACCAGCACCTGCAGCGCTGCTCAGGGCAGCCGGTGTGCTGGGGAGTGGTCATTTTGGACTTCCCCGGGGCAGGCCTGCTCCAGCTCATCATTGAGAGCAACGCCCCAGGGACAAATGGAGGTGTGCCAGATGCCCCCAGCACCCCACAGACACCCCAGCGGCAGCGGGGACGAACGCTGCGGGTGGCACCGCTGGGGCCGGTGTCTCCCATGCTGCGGGCAGCCTCACGTGTCAGCCGACAGACATCAATGCAGAAGTGTGCCCGGAGATCCCGCACGGCATTGAGACACCTCTATGTGACATCCGTGTGACAGCGGCAGGGCTGGCAGTCAGTGGTGAGCAGCCCTGAGCTGCCCCTGTGCATGGCATCCCTCCAGGAGCCAGGTATGGTGTTGGTGAGGTGGGGGCGAGCCCCAATGTGGGTCTAAGCCAGCAAAATCCCCAGTGGAGTTAGGGATAAAATCAATCATGGAGCCATTTGAGTTGGAAAGGACTCTGGCCTGTAGTGAACAGTGACACCCACAGCTCCATGAGGAGTTCAGAGCCCCATCCAGTCTGACCTTGGCTGTCTCCAGGGATCCTATATCCAATCTAATTTCCTCTCTTTTAGTTTGAAACCACTTCCCCTTGTCCCGTCACAGCAGAGCCTGCTAACGAGTCTGTCTACTTCTGGGACAGGGGATGGGATGGTGTAGAAAGATCCTGGTCTTAAATGCATCCAGAGAAGGGCAACGGAGCTGTGAGGGGACTGAAGCACAAGTCTTAGTAGGAAACATTTCTTCTCAGAAAGAGTGGTTGATCACTGGCACAGGCTGCCCAGGGAGGTGGTGGGGTCACCATCCCTGGAGGTGTTCAAGAACCATGGCACTGAGTGAGGGACATGTTCACTGGGCATGGTGGGAATGGGTTGGGGTTGGACTAAATGATTCCATGATTCCATGATAAACCATAGATGTGGAAAGCCAGAATGTGGAGAAGGAGGAATTAATTTCAAAGTGACAGCAAAATATTGGGGGCACCCTTGCCCCCATTATTTTAGGTGGAGTTCTTTTCTTTTCAGAGTCTCACCCCATAAGTCTGGACTTTGAGAGAGGAACCAACCAACTCTGAGACAAGAAGCAGGACCAGAATGCAGGAGAGATGTCTCCTCAGCTCTGCACCCAGAAGGCAGTGAAGAGAAGGACACTTTCCAAGGAGCGAGGTCTTCAGGAGCAGAAAAATAACCAAGGTCCCAGAGTTGAGAGCATCAAAGCACTGCTGGCACTGAACACAAGAGGGCAGGAAGCACAAGGCAGGGCACTTGCCTGAGGCTGGAAGGAGAGGAAAGCTCAGCTCTGAGCTGCCAAAAGGTGAAGAATGAACATGCTCAAGGATGCTTCTGTGTGCAGGAAAATGGAGCTGGCCTCGCTGCATGGCCAGAGCTGTCTCCGGATTTCCTGGCAGGAGGACAGGACATTGTTTGCTCCGTGGGGCTGGCACCAGCCCGAGGCAAAGCTCTCATGGCTGAGTGCATTCATCCGCTCGTCTGCATGGCTCTTTGCAGAGCTGCATGGCTGCAGAGCCACATCTGCTGGGGAGAGGGCCAGAGTGAGGGGAAGGGAAGAGGCAGAGGGGGGCAAAAACGTGCTGGGGGGGACAGGCAGCAGAATCCACCTCTGGGCTTTCCCTCTTGAAATAAGAAGACTGCATTAAAGCATTAAAGCAGACTGTTGCAGTAGCACTGGTGATGTCTGGGGGACACAAGGCAGTGCTATGAGGTCAATGAGTAGGGCTCCGTGGGACAGGATGCCCCAGGCTGCACTCACCCTGATAGGCAGGGCCACTTGTTTACTGCTCACTACACCGGCGCTGAGATAAGTTTCCATTATCTCCACCCCCACCATCCTGTTTGGCAAATCTTTACCCATGCCAGGCACGTGCTGCTGCAGCCAGGCAACGGGAGCCAGCCTCAGGGGTGCACAGATGGCAGCGATGCCATATGGCTCTCTGTCCCTCTGTTGTAGGGTGAAGGCACAAGGCTGAGATCTCCAGGGTCAGAGAAATGGCTCTGATGGGTATCAATAGGATAAGGGGGACACAGTGTGGTGGGCAGGGGCCCCAAACCCCCCTGCACCTTACAGCTAGGGTTGTTCCACCTGGGGCATGGCAGTGACATTTGGGGACATCCCCATCTTGGTTCAACAAATCAGTGCCACCATCTCGCCCTGCCCTGGTTGGGGTGATATTTGAGTAAACATGTCTTCCTGTGGCCAAACTGTTATCAGTTTCAGATTCTGAGAAAGACTGTACTGTGTGCCACACTGCACTCAGAGGCACCTCCCAGCTCTTTGGGGACAAAAAGCCCCCGTGGTGGCACTGTGGAGGGGAGCAATCCCTAACCCATACCCAAAAGGTGCCTCCAAAGCATCCTGGCTCAGTGTAGGGACTGGAAATGGGGTGGCATGGGGGGGAAGGTGGGAGCAGGGCTGCACCCGATGGCTGCACCCTTTGGGGATGCCTCATGTTTCCATGCCCTGGGGGCTGTAGGAGGTGCCCAGGAAGGTGCCTGTGGTATCACCAGAGGCAGCTGCTCCAGGCAGGCTGCGTCAGGGTGAGTCGGTTCCTCTGCGGTTTGCAGGGAATATTGCTCAAGGAGAGGAGAGGGCTGTACCACACAGGGATGGGGCCTCTGCCAAAAACAAGAGCAGTGTGCTTGGTGAAGGGCTCCTCCCAAGTGGCAGGGGAGCACCCCACTCAGCCTCGCGATGCCAGAGGAGCCTGCAGGATCCTTGTGAGGAGCATGTGCTCTGCAGCATGCCAACACCTGCCCAGAAGCTGGCCCTGGAACACCAGCAAGGCAAAACAGGATTATCCCCCAGATTATCTAGCTCCCAGGAGAGCTGCAGAACTGATGGCAATCCTCATTCCCCTCTGCCATGTGTACCCCTCTCCTCTACATGCACAGCATCATCCTTGGGTTCAAGGCTACGTCCTTCCCCTTGCAGTGGCTGCCTCCAGGTCTCAGCCAGTTCACTTCTGTTTTTACAACACTAGGGACTATTTGTAGCAACAAAATGCAAGTGGGAATATTTTTTTCTATTGTTTTGCCCCACTGTGCCAGCAGAAGTGAAACCAGCAGGGGCACAGCTTGTTTTCCTCCTGCCCTCCCCTGGGGCCGAGCATCCAGCAATATCCTTCTGACTGTCCTAGTGCAGCAGCAGCTTCGTCCCTCTCAGGGGACCATGGCTTCCCGAGGTGTCCCCCTGCCCAGCAGCCACCCCTCAGCTTCTCTGCCCACTGGGATGTCATTCCCTGTCCAAAGCACGAGAGCTGGCAAAGCGAATGCTGCTGAGATACTGCATGTACAGAAAGAGGGAGAATTGCAGTAGAACATTTTGCAAGGATGATGACCAAAAACAGGAACAGAATTTCATTTACATTGGCCAAGCAGAAAGGCATTGTAATGAGTTATGGATTTTGTAGATGAGTTCCTCCTTTTGTGTTGTATGAGTCCCACTGGAGCATTGTTTATTTCTATGGAACTGGGATGTGCATGTGAACCAAAGGGCTTCTGCCTTGGCTTTAACTGGAAGTGAGCGGAGCAATTCCCACAGAAAACCTTGCCAAAATGATACTACTTAGAAGTAGAATATGTGTAAAAATAAGTATATGGTGATAGACTGTACACAATGGGCACCTTCCTGAAGCATCGGTAGATGTTCATAAAGGACATCTAATGGGAGAAAGTTTCCCCATCCCACTTTTGAACCTTTCTCATAAAGATTTAAAAAAGCAGAAACAGGAAAATACATTGTGTAACTAATTGGTCTTAAGTGGTATATGACAACTCACAGCCTGCACAGGATCTGGGAGCCGCACACCACACTCCTGCTCTGCTTGTGCAGGTCCACACACCTCATCCTGCTCTGTCCTCTCTTCACTGCTGTCGCCTACATGGTGGGTTGGAGGGCTCTGGGTGGCTGCACACCAGGCTGGCCCCTCGCTGGGGTCTCAGTCTCCAGCTGGCAGCAGGTGCCTGGCAGTGGGGAGTGCAGCTGGGCAGGATGCGGGCTGGCAGAGGGGCTGGGTCAGGAGGGGAAGAAACTGAGGGGAGGGAGCGATGCTCTGTGGCTTGCAGGAAGTGTGAGTAGCGCTGCCTGCCCAGGGCAAGGGCCAGGCACAGCAGGCACCCTGCAGCACCGGCGTGGTAGGTCTGCCTGCTCCTTCCTGCAGGGACAGCTGGGGTATGCTCGGGTAGGGGGCAGGGAGGGTTGTGGGTGGGTACCCTGCTGCTGGCAAGGATGCATGCTCATGCCCCTCTCCCCAGCACACAGGGCACCACTGTGGGACAGCGCTGCGCTCGGAGGATGTGGGCTCTCGGCTCTTGTGGTGTCTGCTGCCTGGGCATCGCTGTCGTCACATGTGGTAAGGTGCCCACCGTGACCCTGAGGGAAGGGGAAACTGGAGAAGGGCAGCAGAGTTATTTTGGGGGCCCCGCAGACACGTGGCTTTGGTGCCTGTAGGATATTTGCTTTGCACATTGGCACTGCAGAGGGAAATAAATGTGCTCTGTCCTAGAAATCCTGTGTGATCTGGGTCCGTTTACAAAAGACCTTTCGCAAATCAGCGGAAGAGCAGAGGCAAAAGTAGAAGTGTCAGGAGGAGACTGAGATTTAGGTCTGCAAGGAAAACAAAAATACAAATGCACCTTGAGTGCTGCGAGCACTGTGCCAAGCTGCACAGGACGGGAGGCATGGGAGCTGTCTGGGTTGCTAATGGAACCCAGGTGGGGCTCAGCTCAGGTGCGTGGGGAGAGGTGAGACAAGACTGAGCATACAGGGCTGCATGAGCTGGAAGAATGAGGCAGGAGTGTCTATGCATGACAGGCAGGCTGTAGATTTGCTCTCTGGTCTTTCCTGGGGTCTGATCCTTTTTGGGATTCTTAAGGGAGGTGGTAGGGGTCAGGGCAAGCTCCCAGTGGTTGCCCTGAGCTGTGCCCTGGGAGCCCATGAATTGAGAAGCTGGGCTGCTGTTGGAGTGCACATTTTTCTTGTTTTTGTTTAACAAAGTGGGTAGTTGGATCTTCCACAAGGAAAACCAGACAAGTTGTAGGGATTTTGCATAGGAAAATGTATGGTAACTGGCCTAGCTAGAGCCCTATTTATATCCGTGAGGCCCTGTATTTGTATTTAATCTGCAATGACTAGAAATTTGCCTTCACAATGAAAGTGTAAGATGTGCTCTCCCATGACAGGGTATCTCAGGTCTGTTGCTTGGAGTGACTTTGCTTCCCACCTTACTTTTGGGCTGCTTTCTGCAGCCGTGGGCATACCTGCTTCTAGAGAGAAGGGAGGAAGCTTTCTTTTTTTTTTGTGGCAAAAACTTCTTGATTACATCAAGTTGTGGTGGGAAACAGAAGCAGTATTTCATCACAGTGCCTTCCATTTCTGGGTGTGGGTTCCAGTTAATCTGGGCTTTGCTTTCTCTGGTGGGCATGGCCAGGACGTGAACTGCTTTCTGCAAGGCTGTGTTTTGCAATGCAGTGTTCTGCAGCTCTTTGGGCCACCTCTGGATCGGGGATGCAGTATGGCACAAGGATGCTTTTGGGCATGGGGGCATGCTTGGTCTTCTTTCTTGTGCAAAACCGACCCTCCTTTAGAATTGTAAATTAAAGAAAGTAGGGAAAACAAACAACTAAACAACAAAACCACACATGTGGAGCAATTTTACATGTGTAGAAGGAAATGTGTTTTAAGGAACTCTTTGGGAGATCTTTATGGTGAGGGACGCCCCAGCTCTTTCCCACCTTCCTCATTTCTCTGCTGCCCCTCTGCTCCACCATGGCATGTTCTGCCATGCCAGATTCTTACACATCTCTGTATACTCTCTTTGAACTCTGTTTTCATCCACACTTCCCCCACCTTTTCCCTCTGGTTGCTGGTGGCTCTTGGCCCTGGTGCCAGCCTCAGGTCTCCCAACCCTGTCCCCAGACCTGCACTGTCTTCCTGCAGCAATCCCAGACCACATCCTCTCCCACAGGCGTGGTGATGCAGGTGGGAGCCTGGACGTACTACTACAGTGAGGAGGACTATGAGTGGGACAACGCCAGAAGATACTGCCAGACTTTCTTCACCGACCTGGTGGCCATCCAGAACAAGGAGGAGATTGAGTACCTCAATCGCACCCTGCCCTATCATGGAAAATACTACTGGATTGGCATCCGCAAGCTGAAAGGTGTCTGGACCTGGGTGGGCACCAAGATGGCACTGACAAAGGAGGCAGCCAACTGGGCAACTGGGGAGCCCAACAACCGCAAGTTCAACCAGGACTGCGTGGAGATCTACATCAAGCGGTCATCAGAGGCAGGCAAGTGGAACGATGAGCCTTGTACGAAGAAGAAGAAGAAGGCACTGTGCTACAAGGGTGAGTGGTGAGAACAGGGGGAGGGCTGAGAGCAGGACAGGGCACCCCTTGATGATGGTCAATGTGTACAGTCTCCTGCCAGCCCCTGATCTGCGGCCTGCATGGTGACTGTCTGGAGGTCATCCAGAGCTACAAGTGTGAGTGCCACCCCGGCTTCGAAGGAGACAACTGTGAGAATGGTGAGTACCCAGCAGGCTCTGCTTGGGGCTGAGATGCTTGTCCTGGATGGTGCTTGGGGCTGTATATCCCCAAAAGACCCCTCTTCTGTTGGAGAGCTGAAGCCCCAGCACAACACACAGGTCTGTCGTGCTACTGACAGGCTGTGGCTGCATCTCTCCCAGCTGTGCAGTGCCCTATACTTGAGCCCGGAGGAACGTACATGAACTGCAGCCATCCCTTTGGAGACTTCAGATACAACTCCACCTGCACCTTCTGGTGCCCAGAGGGGTTTGAACAACGAGGTGTGGATGAGCTGCAGTGCCTGGCTGATCGGCAGTGGTCGGCGGAGACCCCCACGTGCATAGGTAGGCACTGCCATGGACTGGGGTTCTGGAGTGTGGCACTGATGCTCAGCATCATTCCCACAGTGCATTCTGGTGTGTACATGCAGCAAACCCTTGCAATTTCCCACATGCTGATGCTCAATCCCTGTTTGTGTTGGGGTACAACTGATGTCCTGGCACCTCCATCATGCTAGAGGCACTGACTGCTCCTTGGGAAGGTCCTGGGTGCTTCAGAAGGACTTAAAGAAGAGAAATGGGAGCTGTCACATGGCTGGGGGATGGGTGCACCCTGACTGGGCTGGGCAGAAGGGCAAGAGGTGGTGAGATAGGGTGGAACAGGGCAGGCAGGAAACCACTGTGGGGAGAAAGCCACAAAAGAACCAAGCTGTGGTGTGTTATGCAGAGAAAGTCTTCCTGTTTGTATCTCGAGGACTTGTAGCTGCTCTGCTGGTGTCCCAGAGGCACTGAACTGTTTTGGGTTGGGGTTTGTGTGGAGCCTTGCTCCATCTGCTCTGTATAACAGGTCTACGTGTGGTTACAAGGATGTGACAAGACCTGAAGCAGGTACAGGACACAAAGGGGTATCTCCTGTATGGAGAGCCCCAGCAGTATACACACTATTAAAACTAGCAGCTTGCCTTGCAGTTAGCGCTGCCAGTGAGGCAGTGCTAGGCAGGCCAGTGGCCCAGGGATTTTTGGAGCTAAGGGAGCAGGCACCAAGGGCTGATGTGATGTCATTTTTGTGGAAGTTCCCCCATTCAGCAAGTTGCCCTGACCTTTCCTGTCCCTGACTTTCCAAGTTCTCACATCTGGTTTTCCAGAGCACAGCTCTGTTTTTTCCTGCTTGATGTATGATGGATTTTTCTTTTCTACAAAAAATTGGCTGACTTGGTTGCCAATGCTGATAACAGAGCTGTGTTAGTGAGCATTGCCAATTGGGTTTATTCCAACACCAAGCACAGGCTATGGCTGCGACAGGGTTGGACATGCCCTGGGCACTACAGGGATATAGGATGAGATGGCTGTGCTCACCCCATCCTCACCAGCTCTGCCTGTATCTGGTTGTAGCTATTACCTGTCCTACAGTGGTGGATCCTGAAGGAGGCTGTGTCAACTGCTCCCACTCACACGGAGCCTCTGCCTTCAACTCCATGTGCACTTTCTCCTGCCAGGAGGGCTTTGAGAGAACAGGATTAAAGAGGCTTTGGTACATAGCCGAGGGCGCCTGGTCAGGGTCCCTCACTTACAGCAAAGATAGAGCCAGTGTGCCTGGGTGCTGGGTTGGGAGGTGGATATCCTGTATGGAAACAGGCTCTGTGTAAGGTGCCCATGGTCTTCTGCCATGGAACTGTGACCCAGAGAGTGCCAGGGATAAACCAGGTCCTGGTACAGCAGCAACTGCTTCTCACATGGAGCAAAAACCACTGTACCAATGGTGCTACTGCTGTGTCCAAGGAAGTGAGGCTTGCCATCCAGTATTGAGGTAAGAAGGGAAGATCAAACACATGCCACCTCAAATTTGGGTTTATTAGGTTGGAATTAAACACTAACCTGTGTATTCAGTTCCACCCAAATCCTGCCCTAAGACCTGTTCTCTTGCAGCTATCACCTGCCCAGAGCTCAGAGCTCCAGAGCATGGAGAGCTGAACTGCTCCCACCTTCATGGGAGCTTCGCCTTTGGCTCCATCTGTGACTTCTCCTGCCAGCCAGGGTTTGAGCTCATGGGGTCACAGAGTCGCAAGTGCATGGCCACGGGGAACTGGACTGGAGACATTCCACAATGCAAAGGTAGAGATGCTCCTAGAACTTTGGGATGGCATTAGGATGTTCTTCAGCCTCTTAGTCCCAGCAGTTCAACCCCACAGTAACCCGGCTGCTGCTAGAAGTGTGCCTCTTCCCCCCGCAGCTGTCACCTGCCCGGCACTCAGTGCTCCAGAGCATGGAGAGCTGAACTGCTCCCATCTCCATGGGAACTTCACCTTCGGCTCCACATGTGACTTCTCCTGCCAGCCAGGGTTTGAGCTCACAGGGCCTGTGAGCCATCAGTGCACAGCCATGGGGACGTGGACTGGGGACACCCCACAGTGCAAAGGTAGAGCTGCTGGTAAAGATGTCACTGGCCTGAGATTGGCTCTGGGATGTTCTCAGCTGCATTAGCCTTCTCATCCTAACAGCTGAGCCTTGTAGCTTCCTGGCTCCTGCTTAAGATGTGCTTCTTTTACTTTTCAGCCATCAGCTGTCCAGTGCTCAGAGCTCCAGAGCATGGAGAGCTGAACTGCTCCCACCTTCATGGGAGCTTCGCCTTTGGCTCCATGTGTGCCTTCTCCTGCCAGCCAGGGTTTGTGCTGATGGGGCCGCAGAGCCGTGAATGTGTGGCTAAAAGAACCTGGACTGGGGACACCTCACGATGCAAAGGTAGAGCTGCTGCTAGAGCTCATAGTGTCACTGACAATACCACAGAGCTGCCCTGTGCTGTCCTCTGCCTCTGCCAATTGTCACTTCAGCAGCCCCAACACCATGTGCACACACAGGCCCATGATTCTCACCAGTGTCCCCCTCCACAAATGGTGACAGCACTGGTGCCTGCAGCACTACTGCATCACATCAGCCCTGAGCTTTCAGGGTGGGAGCCATGCCCCCAGCTTGCCCTATGTCTGCATCCAGAAGGCAGCTTCCAGCTCTGTCGTGCTGTTCTGTGCACTCTTGATACTCTGACACATGCTGGTACATCACTGAGGTCCTGCCATCCTGTCCCAGTAGTGAAAATCCTCTGTCCACAACGGCCACCTCAAAGAGTTGCCACTGACAGCCCTGCAGAGCAAGGGACTGAGCCTGCCAACACCTCCCTGTCTAGGCATTTACACTCCCTGAGACCAGGACACCATCCCCTGCACCTAGCAGGCACAGTCAGAATTGACCCAGAACTTCTGGGTGCCCCATCTCCAGACATGGAGATGTGCTCCTGCCAGCATGTACAGGATCCGCCCTGAGACCTGCTCTCCTTGCAGCTGTCACCTGCCCAGTGCTCAGTGCTCCAAAGCATGGGGAGCTGAACTGCTCACATCTCCACGGGAACTTCACCTTTGGCTCCACGTGTAACTTCTCCTGCCAGGCAGGGTTTGAGCTCATGGGACCAGAGAGCCGTGAGTGCACAGCTATGGGGACCTGGAGCAAGGACACTTCACAATGTAAAGGTAGAGTTGCTGCTAGAGTTTGGGGTGTAACTAGTATGGGGATGGCATTAGGATGTTCTTCATACTCTTGATACCAGCAGTTCAACCCCACAATAACTTGGCTCCTGCTTAAGGTGTGCTTCTTTTTCTGTAGCCATCACCTGCCATGTGCTTGGTGCTCCAGAGCATGGAGAGCTGAACTGCTCCCACCTCCATGGGAACTTCAGTTTCGGCTCCACATGTGACTTCTCCTGCCAGCCAGGGTTTGAGCTGATCGGGCCACAGAGCCGAGAGTGCATGACCACTGGAATCTGGACTGGAGACACCTCGCAATGCCAAGGTAGAACTGTGGTGGTCATATCTGCTCCTGGACTGTGTGCCCTGATGAAGAGTTGCCCCTTCCCCAGGATGTATCCCCAGTCTCTCCTCTGGGAGATAGAGGAACTGACCCATGTGCACTCAAGCAGTGCGAGTGGAATGGAGCTGTGTAAGGATGCAGGGATGGAGCCCCCATTGCTGCCTTTATCCCGACACTTTCTGTGACTCCAGTAGGCCTATGCACAGTGAATATGTAGCATCATGAGGAGGCAAACTCTCTGAAATCTCCAGTTCTTCTGAGAACTGCCAGGACACTGCCCACTGCTCTGTGCTAGCAGACTGCTTTCCCCAGGATTCCTTTTCCAAGCACCCCAGCTCATGGCAGCTCATCCCCTGGCTCTCTAGCCCCTGTGCCCTCATTCCACTGCCAACAATTCTGTCTCATGAGTGTTGCTGCTGTGCTTTACCTGCAGCCATCAGCTGTCCAGTGCTGGATGCCCCCAGCCATGGCCACCTCAACTGCTCTCATCCACATGGGAACTTCACGTTCAACTCCACTTGCACCTTTTCCTGCAAGGAAGGATTTATCCAGATGGGAGCAGAGATGCTCAGGTGTGCAGCCACAGGGAACTGGACCAGGCATCCCCCAGTCTGCGAAGGTATGGTGGGGCTGTGCTTCCCAGCCTCCTGCAGTACATCTTGAGGTTGGAGGAGGCACCCAGCAGCTTTGTCTCTGTGGAATTCCTCTGATAACAACCTGAGTGTTTGTGGGCCTTTTTCAGAGGATTCTGCTGCCTTTTTGAAACAAGTTCTGATTTACACCAGCACCAGTGCTCTGGCAGCAGCTGGCCTTGTGCTTTCCGGAACGCTCATTGCCTTGCTTGCCAAGCGGCTCAGCGACAGAGGTACTGAAACATCTGCAGCCAGGGTGTGCTTTGGCTAGGGACTCTCAGAGCAGGTGGCTACAGAGCCCCAAGGAAAGGGTGTTGATCAAAAGAATTTATAGATGTGACCGTTCCAGTCCACGTCCTGTGTGCTGTGGGCTGGCTCAGTCCAGCAGCACCTCCCTGGCCCTGGGTCCTGCTGAGAGCATCAGCCACAACTTGGGGGCAGAAACAGAAAAACACCATCACTGTTGAAGGGGCAAAAGGCAATTATCCCAGGATGAGATGGAATGGGGTTGCGTGACAGATTTGTTTTGGTTTGTCAAATCCTTCTGCTGCTTTTCAAGCCTTCACTAAAAAGATCTGACTCTTTCTTTTCTGTCTGCACTCTCCATGGACACTTCAACACCACTCTCAGAGGAGAAGAAGAAGCTCCTGAACCCCACCAGGTAAGATTTGTATTTGGCAGGAGTGTCTCTAACTGCAGACAGGTGGATATTATTGTAGACACCTCCCTACTACCATCACCTCTACCTGCACGTGTGAGGCTGCCTGTACAGCAGTAGGAGCATAGCTAGGGGCTGATGAGGCTGTGCCAACTAGCATGCTTCAGAATACAAGGATTCTGTAGCCTCTGCAGGGTGCAGCCCATGGGGAGAAATGGCTAAGACATGAGTGCTTTTCTCATGCAAGCATGATGTTCCTTATCTCTTTTTTTCCCCCCAGCTGACACTCTTTATGTTTTTTCCCAGTGACCTGGGGGCACCAGGCATCTTCACCAATGCAGCCTATGACTCCACCTTGTAAGGTGAATGCCAGCGCAGTGCTTGCAGCACATTGGAAAGTGTGCGTGAAAAATCCATCTGCTTCTGGGCAGCACCTGGGCTTACCTGGGTAGAAAACTCAGGGAGCGTGAGCCCAGCCACCTCACTTGTGTCACTCCTCCCATCTCACTGCAGGCAAAGCGGAGCCAGAAGCGCTGTTTCCACCAGCACCAACCCCGACGGTACTTCGCTTTGCCCTGCAGACCCTCGCTGCCTGCTGGCCTGAAGCTACGCTCAGGGGCTGGGACTGCAGAGCTCTGTGCCCACCCTAGTCTATACCCACACGTGGGCAAAGCCTCCGAAGCAGCAGGGGCGTGGAAAAGCGGACTGTAGCCCCTTCCCTTCGCCGGCCCGCTGCTGGGGCCGGACCCGTGCCAACGGGGCTCTCAATAAACGCCTTTGTCCTCGACCGAGGTCCGCGTGCGCTCTATGGGAGACGGTCGCAGCGTGGGGGCGGAGCGCGATGGGGGCGGGCGTAGCGTGTCCTCTTGCGGCCGCCGTAGGTGGCGGGGCTTCTGCCGGAAGTATACGTGTGCGGGAGTAGGAAGCCGGAAGCGATGGCGGCGATGAAGTCCGAGTGGGAGCCCGCGGGGCTGCTGCCGGCGGCGGGGGGCGGCCTCGACTGGGGTAAGCGCGGCTGGGAGGGGTCGGCGACCGGGGATCCAGTATCCGGGATGGGCACGCGGCTCGGCCGGGCGGAGCTCGGCTCCCTGCTCGGCGTCCGGTGCTGAGGCCGCTATCTCCCCGCAGAGACGGTGCTGGGCGAGGAGCTGGGCGAGCTGCTCGGTGCTGCGGAGTCGCGGCGCGCCTCGAAGGACGAGCCCGACGTGAGTACTGGCGGGCCGGGGCGAGGGGAGAGCGGTGCTACGGAGCCGTGTGGCGACGGCTGGAGGGCGTCACGGGCACCTGCGGGCCGGGCGGGGCTGCCCGTCCCTTCATGAACCGTCAGTGGCACGGCGGTGGGTTTGGAAATGGCGTCTAAAGGCACGCGTTTGTCTGTTTGAGAGTTTTTTCTTCAACCTTTACTCCTATGCAGCGTATTAAACCCTGTGCTTCTCACTGTATGCTCACACCTCCTCCTGGCTCTGTCCCGGGACGTTTGCCTCGTGGATTTCCCACTCTCTGTACCTCCTCCTGCCTTCCCTCTGTTTGCTGTGGCTTTACATACAGCTTCTGTGCTGTCCCACATCAGTCCCGGGTACTATTAGCATTCCTATAGGAGTTGTAGGACAGGCATTAGGGAGAACTTGGGAACTGCTGGATTGTGCAAGGCCAAGCCATCACCTTTCAGCATTAGTTACACGTGGGAGACTCTTACTGCACAGCTTGGGCTGTGGCTTCTGTTCATTCCTTCTACTGATGTGCTCTGATGAGCTTTTTCTTCATCCTTGCCTGCAAATTTCTGTGCAGTCTGCAGACTTTCTGAGCCACCCTTTATGAAGCAAGCTGAGAATTTAAAGGAAGTTAGGTTTTCAGGAAAGGTTTTAGCAAGTAAATCCTATCTATGTATTTATATAAACTGAATGTATAACGTTAGAGAGCACTCTGTTTTTTATGCCAGCGCTCATAGAAATGTTACATTTTGATAGAGAGCTGAGGCTTAGCAACAGAAAAACGTGAAGCAAAAAGGTGACTGTTGTTTCAAGGGATGTACAATAACTGATGTGTAAGAGGTGATTTTAGTCTCCTTTTTTTTTTTTCCCCCCCGTTGGTTTATGAGCCTGATGTCTCTGGTTTTAGAAGGTGGTGATGTCAGTTTATTCAAGTGTAGTGAGGCCTGATTCATCTCTGAGATGGTCAGTATGTTCCTGAGCAAATCACTCCTTGAGTCTCTCATTCTCTCATTAAACTGATGTTGACACTACTTTCGTTTACAAAGTGCTTTGAGATCTGATGATGAAAGAGCATTAATCCTTCAATGAAGATGAAGGTGAGTAATGGCAACAAGTCACCAATCCTGTAATTTATTCAAGGTGGTTCAGTGACTTCACTTAGAACTTTTGCTTTACAAATTACTGACAACGCGACAGTAATTAACAGTATTCTTGAACAGGAATGCTCTTATTCTATAGTTCCAGGCTTTAAAAGAAGCCTTGTCTCATGTAGTCCAGCTGAGAACACTCCCTCTCAAGGCTGTGTTCTTAAGGCAACTGAAGTGATAGTCCCTTTGCTTGTCCAGAAACGTAAGAATGAGAATGTAACAGCTGATGGTCTCAATGTATATTGCCTTCTTATCTTGTTTCTTTTTCTGAACAGTCATTTCAGGAAAATGATCTGTATAACTTTCATTTTGACTTGGATTTGATGTCCTGGGACTCGGACCTTTGGAATATTACAAGCCACTCTTATTCAGGTAACTTAATAGCTGAATTTTGCAAGTATGACAATTCCATCCTGCTCCACAAGGGTGAGCTGTTACAGCTTTATGGTACTGGTAATTTTTGTGGAACTACTTGATCTACGGTGAGAAGTTATGCTGTGTTTCTGTAGCATGGGTCCAGCTGCTAGGAGCTGCCCTACAATCTAAATATCTTTAATCTCACAATTTTCTGCTGTGTCTTGCTTTGGGGATTAAATAGCTGGTGTAGAGTGATGTTCTTTATTGATTTCCCCTTGTTAAAGACTTGTACAGAGAAAAATTCTTCATCTTTTGCAGATGCAAATGTGAAGACGGAGCCCTTATCACCAGCCCCTTCAACTTGTTCAGTCCCTTCTCCATCATCTGCGGACTCTCCAGTGCAGAATGTACCTGTATGCAGAAACCTCCATGTAACACAGATAGCAAGATTAATTCAGGCTCAGCTGAGACAAGCAAAAAAAAACTATTGATTTATCTATTTGGTCAACTTCATAGCATAAAAAGAAACTAATATTTATTTTTTTTCAACCTTTGTGAAAACAACTTTCCTTCAACTATGTTTTCCTTCTTCTAGTCCTGTAATCCATTCCTAAAAAAATCATGTTCAGTTGTGTTTATTGGTCTGTTTGCCAAACAAAATACCTTCTAAAGGCGTCTGAGTCTAGCAGTTGCTGGTCTCTCCACCCTTTTGTTCTGCTGATATAGAGTGGTGGTGCTTTGGTTGTCAGTGGTACTTGACACTGACTAGAATAAGATAGCAAAGGAAAGCCTTTCTCCTATTTCCTGCAGTAGCAATGCCTGTGAAAGACAGTTGTATTCTGAATTTCTTGTAGTCACTTTTATCTGCTTCTGAAGCAGTAGTCTCCTCTACTTTCTGTTTACAGGATGATACGGACTTCAGCTGCAGTTCCCAGATGTCTCCTATCTCCCTCTACTGCAAGAGCTCCAGAAGCCCCGCATCCCCTGAAGGAGATGCAGAGAAGAAACCGATTGTTGGTGTCACTCCTCGGTCTGGTACGAGAGATTGAGTTACTTAGATTCCACACCTATGGATACATCAGTTTTAACAGATATAGATGAATAATGAAACATACCAAAGACCAAGTTATCACTACTGAAATTTTACACTTCCGAATTTCTCATCTAACTCAGTCCCTTTCTTTTCCTAGCAAATAATTCTGTGAAGACTCTGAAGAGATGTGGTCAGACAGCGTCTAGGCCATCGATACAACCAAAACCTCTTTTGCCTGCTGTACCTGAGGCTCAGGCTAACATTGGCATCCCAGCTAAAACTATCATTATTCAGACACTTCCAACACTTGTGCCACTGCCAAAGCATCAGCCAGTAGTTAACATCCAGCCAGCACCTCCTAAAGGTAGGTGAATTGTCATCATGGAGCCAGGTCCTAGGGGCAAACACTATGTCGGTTTGGGGTAGTCTCTAGATTGAAGTTACATTTGGCAGGTGGAACAGGAGGGGTAGGATTAAGAGAAGAGTGATGCATGCTTTGCTGAAAAAGCTTTATGGTAAGAAAACAACCTAAATTCTCTCTTGCATAGCTGTGTGGAAAACATCAGGTACCTGAACATTGTGTGGAATAGAAGGCAATATGGCAAAAGAGGCTATCCTGAGCATTAGGAATTGTGGAGATAAAGCTGCTATCTGGATGATCTCTAGGGATCTTTTGCTCTGCTCTACTTGTGATTGGCAAGTGATGCATAAGGTTAATCCAGTTGTACTCTGCTTTAACCAAAGGAAGATCAACAGAGTCAGTAAGGATGGCTGAATGAAACTTGAAAACATGGGAAGGAGCAGTAAGCCACTTTCACCCATGTGAAACATGAGTTTATGGCTTTTTGTCTAACTAAATAATATTAAATAAGATATTACAAAATCTGCTAAAAGTTATGAGAGTGGTGTTAGGAGTTAGAGTACTTCCTTAAAACTATAAGCTGATGATAACAAGGCAAATCATTTCCTGTCTATCTGTATGTTTTCATTCCTCCTGTTACTCTGTAACTGGTTTATTTAAGCCTGGGTCTTCATTTCAGAATCCTAAGCATTATTTACTTTTCTGCCAAGAGAGCAGGAACGTTACTTGCATTGCAGAAATAGTCAGATGCAGTTGCCTGTTTTCACCACCTGATGGCTGCAGATTCTTGCAATTTACTACACAGACGGTAACTGGGAGGGAAAGGAGATAAATACATTCAGTGAAAGTATCTAGAAATTATTTTAATAGTGAAAAACTTCTTTCTTATTAAGTGCTCATCCATCAGGAACTAAACCATAGCTGCACAGGCTGACATTTGTTGCAACATGCCTAAGACTGTTAGTCTACTTAAAACACAGGTCAGCGCAGTCAGCGTGACCTAATTCTTACTGTCTGATGTTCCAGCTGATAAAATACCATCTGGAATGAGGGATGTTGGAAGTAAAATTTTTTTGTTATAAATACAGTACTATGAAGATCAGCTTCTTTTCCCTCAGAGCGGCTTCTATGAGGCACTAGAGAGAAAGAACGTGTTTACTTTGATGGTGCACTTTAGAATTCTTAAGTGCTACTTCTGTCACAAAAACCATAGGGACTTTTTTCATTTTTAAAAATTCTCTGCACGTGGCAGGTGCTGCCAGATTAAAAGGAGTGTGAAGAACAATACCCTTATAGACCCTTTCATGAAAGCTTAGGAAAAAGCACAGTGTTAGACCGTCACATGTTCAACGCATAAAAAAATTGTTGGAACTATCTCAAATTTACCATTTGAAATTATTGAATAGGGTAGTGCTAACTTACTGTGCCTTTTAAGATCATCTGTACAATAAGGAGACCTAATCCTACACCTCGAACATTAGACCATGGAGTACTAGGTAAATGACTTCATCTTCCAGAAAGTTGGCTAAGTGTTGTAATACAGAGTCATGCATATTGATTGGAATGTCAGCTGGAATGTGCTGCTTCTAAAAGGCAGCCAGGTCATCTTGTTACAAAGGATTAAAGAGATGTTCATGTGCTTTCATGCAAAAAAATATTACTCGAGCACCTGCTTGA